CATACCGTAGGCTGTTGTTCGCTATGGTTGAATATTATGAAGACCTGTTATCGTCCTTCCTTACTAAGCAATGCAATATTGTAATTAAAATTGTGTGTAATTAAAAAAGGAACCTACGTGTCCTAAATGAGATTTTTCGAATTTATCCAACGACCTATTGACACTGAGAACTACCAGTCAGTTGCAATAATCAAGTGCCAGTAAAAGTTAAGGATATTCTGGTTCCATTTTCCGCAACAGTAATAATAAAAATATCTAGGCAACAAAGGTGAATGACAAACTGTTGCTAAGCTAACGGAACCAGATTATCATTTCCGTTTTACTACGGGTTCATTATTGAAACTGGCCTTAAATTAACATAAGCTAAGAATAAGCGTTGAGCCTCCTAAAGGAAAAATGTGGTCGAAATTCCCCAAGCCACATTGAATGAGTAATATGGCATAGCCAGTCTACTAGCAAACGGCCCATTGACCTACCTGTCTTTGTTCATTGTAATAGATGTTTATAAAACAAAAAATATCCATCGCCATTTTTCTTAAACAGGTAGTTGTTACCCAATGCATTGTTGCCTGGTTACGATTTGTTTTTAATGTCCTAGTTTGTTTCGAAACTTGTTAACTGAAATCAATTACAGCTTTTTTGATAAAACATAAAGCTACTTGCGGAGTTAGAAAAAAAAACTGCACTCAACAAAAGGTCGTTTTTATACAACTTAATATACTTATTAATGCTAGTATGAAGGGGTTCTCTGTATCTGGCAGAAAGTTTGTTGCTCCGAAATTCATAAACTTGACATAATCTTCTTTGAATGAATATTTGCAAGTCATTAAATGCATTGTAATCATTGTTTGGCTGAATGTTTATATGTCCGAATTCACAATAGCAAAACTTTATTAGACATATTATGTTTCTGTGGATTTTTTCTGCGTAATTTCGTTAAGCAAAATCGATGTTTGTGGTCAGTCATAGGATAGACAAATATATGAATAAAAGTTAAATATTTGTATGCCAAAAGACGAATCTGCTTTTGAACCCTCTGTGATATGATGGTTTTGCATTTTAATTATTCCGGATATTAAATGTATGCCGAGGGGCCTGCCGCTCCTTGCTCCCGCTTAACGCAGTATAGGCCCTTAATATGATTCTGGCTTACAAAAATAATATGTTTAAATTTCTGACAAATGAGTGAATGCCAAATGATTATCTGCGAAATAAAGTTGAAGACATTCGCCGGTATGCATAATATTAAAAGTGACATTAAAAGTTCTGCGATAAAAGGTAGATCCAGTAAGGAGTTTCCATAATTATTTATTCACTGCTCAGCGACGCCACATTTATTTGAGGAGCTTTTAAAATATTCTTCGAGTGGTTTTCCTCGTGGTTTGTCACAATTTCCTCTAGTTTAAAACTGGGTTTTATTGTAAATTGTAAACAATATTCGATTATTTTACGTTATGGTCTAATTCGCTAATCTTATCTAACACGCGTTATCTTTACACCCGTTCATATCTTTACTGCTTATTTCGGGCTTGCTTTAATTAGTGTATATCTGGCTAGTTCACGAAGTGTTATTAAATAGTGTCCCGCTTTAAAACCTGTTCATTCTGTGTCATGTTTACCATTCTATGACTCACTCCTTTCTCCAGATTTAGTCTTATTTTTATTTTTCAATAGTAAAGCGTCTGATGGATGTTATTTTATTTCTTGTCTATTTTTTCTTTGTTTTATACGATGGGGGAGAAAACAGTGAAGTGTTGTGGAAATAATTTTGATTTTCATATGTCTGACGTGAGACATAACATTAGACGAAGTTGGCTAAAAACAAAGAAATTAAAAACGATTGTGTTTGATAAAGATAGGTAAGTGTTAATATTAACAATAAATCTTGAAATCTGCCTATCTCTTAGTTCTGTGGAATCTGTCGTTTAAAATGTTTTGTTACTTATGTATTCAACTAAAGGTTATGAATGTAACTTTTGAAACGGCTTTTAGCAATTACTAGCGACCCGCCCCGGCTTTGCACGGGAAATCTATTATATAAAATTCTCGTGTCACAATGTTAGTTACCATACTCCTCCGAAACGGTCAAATGAATATTTTTACAAGTATTAAACATTTGAAAGAAGAAATAGCAATTATAGTTGTAATTTTTATTATTTTTAAAGCATGATTGTGAAAGGTGCGGGTTCGAGTCCCGTCTGCTGCCTGGTCCGCGTGGATTTTTTTCTAGTTATATTTTCTTTAGATTTAAACATCAAGCAGTTACATGCTTTAAAAATAATAAAAATTATAACTATAATTGCTATTTATTCTTTCAAATGTTTAATACTTGTAAAAGTATGCATTTGACATTGTGGGTTACCTATAATGCGAAGAGATAGCGCTGCCTTGCAGCTTAAGAATGGCTAGAAGAATTTCGACGCGGTCCGTGAGGGCCGCGGTAGCATAATTGGTCAGTGCATTCGCCCGGATTACGAAGGGTGCGGGTTCGAGCCCCGTCTGCTGCCTGGTCCGCGTGGAATTTTTTCTAGTTATATTTTCTTTATACATAAGATATTTAAACTAAATAGCTAAACTGCTATAGACCGAATAAATGTTTTAAATTTCACTACTACTCTGTCTTGACCGGGTTTCGCGCGCGCATCTAAAATCTGTAATACCTTCGAAAATATTCTTTTAAAATATATGCTGTAAATGGCTATATTGATCTATATGTATTTAAGGTACTTAATTGGATAATAATTTATGCTGTATAGCTTAACATCGCTTCGTAGATAAGCCATTATTTCTCGTAAAAAGTAAAGGATAAAAAATTGTTATTGTGGGTTATCCCTAAGAGATAGACATATACCATCGCGGTCTTTTCTGTAGACCTTTTTAAGGTTTACAATATTGTAGTACGTTATTTTGATCTATCTCGTAGGGTTCAGCCAATCTTTGGATTGCAAAACAATGTGTTCATCTACGATACCACATTAGAAACCTCTAATATTATCAGTGTTTCTCTACTATATTATGCAAGTATTGTACATTAAAACCTTCCTATTGATTCACTCTATCTATTAAAAAACGGCATCAAAATCCGTTGCGTAGTTTTAAAGATCTAAGCATACGTAGGGACAGACACAGCGGACGACTTTGTTTTAAACTACGAGTATGTAGTGATAAGTACTATTGTACTAAGCTGTTAACGTTCCTGTTTTAATTATATTTAAGATTCTGCTATAGTACTGTGATTTAATACAATTTCTTTCACTGTTACAAACATATGCCTGGTCCGCGAATTTTTTTTTCTCGTTATATTTTCTTTAGATTTAAACATCAAGTAGTTACATGCTTAAAAAAATATATAAACGTAATGCGCCTTAGGGAAATGACAATACTCCAATTTTAATCTTGAGATCAATCTGTGATATTTTGTGATTTGTTTGTATAGTATTGTTGATGTTCCTTTGCGAATATTGAAATTCTAAGAAAGCGATTAACTGAACTTGTGGCTTGTCTAATCAGGTATAGCCATTTCCGGTCAAACAAATATTTCGAGGTTCGACTGCTAAGAAAACGAGTATGCGTAATGAATTGCCGACTTCGTATTTGTCGTGACTGATCAACCATACTTAGGTCTAGATTCATTTGTTTTTTTCGAGTGTCACGAAAACTTGTTCTTGTTTCATAAAATTTTCAGCAACGTGTTTTGCTGAAATCTAATTTGTATTGATTTATTTTCTGTATTCAACAGCTGATAGCTCCAGCCAAGATGAACTTAAAAGGTGAACTTGGACTAAAATTAGACTTGGTCTAAACCTATTGGTGTCTTTGTCTTCTTTTTGGGAAACAGACAAGGCTGATATAATCTGTTTAAGATCTGGTTTAACTTTGTTAACTTTTTGTAATAAATCGTATGTGTCAACGGAAGATTTCTTTCTTCGTTCTATGAGCATAACTCATGAAGCAAATAGTACTAAAGATAAGTACTTTTAAACGTCACAAAGATTCATATAAGATTGAAATCGTTGTTAACAGAAGTTGCAATTATTTCAGAAAATTTGGATATAACTAAATGGTAGCTAACCCCACTGTGGAAGCATCAGTATCTTAATTGTCTATAATATTCACACGATCTTCCAAATTCTACGGTTTGTTTCTTGGGATTTTCTCACTTTCTACGGCAAATTTTTCTTCCTCCGTTTAGATCGTCTCTGTTTAACGGTTTGGCATAGATATCATCTTCGCACGCTCTTGTGACTGCGTTTAGTTAGTTCGTTGACCGTGATGTCAGCTTCGTGTCAAGGCCGAACGGATCGCACACACAAACTTTTTCATAAAAAGACTGTCAACTCTTGTTTTTTTAGAAATAAATCATTAATTTATCGTAAAATATCAGATCGATGTAGGTATATATCCGGTACAATATGATAAATAATGGATATTTTTATTTATAAAATGAATATCGGATATTTTCGAACCCTTACAGTTATACCGTTTAAAGATATAACAATTTTAGCTAAGTTATTACTATCATTTATTTGAATATATCTCTCTTCTATAGTCGTCGATTTTCATTATTCATTCACGGACCGTTTTAATATTTGAGTTTATTACCCAGAGTAAGACTTAACGAAACAAGTGCTATATTAGATTAGGTATTGCATATAATTTGGGTATTTTCTCGGGGTTTTCCGTCCACACATCACATACCCATACAGAAAGACAAAGTGTTTAGAGACACATAGTCTTCTATACAACACACGTAGCAATATTATTTGTATGAGTAACAACAACTATTATCAATAATGAATTTGTTAAATAAATGAGCATAGAATGTAGAATTTAAATATCTAAATGTTACTTTCGCCAATTATCGTGTGGCAGTCGTGGCCGAGCGGTTAAGGCGTCTGACTAGAAATCAGATTCCCTCTGGGAGCGTAGGTTCGAATCCTACCGACTGCGAACTTTTTTTTATTTTTGTTTTTATTTACATGGTGTTTGTTTTGTTTTAGTTTAAGAAGAGGCGCTGGCGTCAACGTCCAAGACGATAATGGGTACACACCACTCCATCATGCTTGTTTGAATGGACACAAGTAAGTAATATTTTATTATAGGTATTTAACAAAATCTTGTACTAAGATATCTATATGTCTATACGAATATTATAAAGAGGACATATTTGTATGTAAGTATGTTTGTAACGAATTGGCTCAAAAAGTACTGGTCCGATTTTAAAAATTCCTTCAACATTTGATAGCAATCATTTTCACTGATTAATATAGGCTATAGTGTATTTAAAAACCGTAACGGTTCCGTATGAAAACTTAGATAAGGTAACCCAACGTGTGTAAAAATACCAAAAAAATAGCCTTATATCGCGTACGCTGCGGAAGTCATTGACAATAGAGCAAAGTGATGTACTAAAGTTTAATAGAGGATACCAATATCTACAAAAAAGTCCGCGATACGATATGTCTAACTATTACAGTTATGTCACAACTAGAGGTCCCCTGCGGTTTTACCCGCGTTAATTTTAAGAAAAAGGTCTATAGTGAGTCAAACTTAAAATATGGACATAGGCTGTCGTGTACTTTTTTACAGAACTTTAAAAGAGGAAGAATTCCGTTATACTTGATTTTTGTGTAACTTTAAACGTTTCCTTAGCGCACGCAATGGAATCTCACAAACGGAATATTTTTATCGGTTTTTGCAACATTTTTCATCGATGCTCCGCTGCTGCTGGTCGTAGCCTGGTAATATAGCCTATAAACATATTATAAATATTGACACTGAACTCCCTAAGTATTGTCGCATTTCATTATGTTTTGTAGCTGAGTAAAATTGCTGGTCTGGTGTATGTTTAGGGAAGGTTATTATAAAACCTTAGTACGTGCGGAAACTCAAAAAGACGCAAATTTTAATTGTTATTCACTACACTTCTTTGATATTAATTTAAGAATTCAGCTTTCAACTTTATTTATATATTCTGTACACACGAATATAGAAACAGGAGCAACTTAATTAAATATAACATGTACAAGGGCACAATTTATTACAATCGGAATTTTTTGAATGAATGAATATAAATAAATAATAACAAATCAATATTTACAACACTCACACCAATTAGCTCTAAAGTAAGCAGTAAGGCTTGTGTTATGGGATACTAGAGTAACGGCTAGAATACATATACAATACATATATAAGTATATTTATAAAGAAATACATATTAAACATCCATGACTGTAGTACAAATGCACGTATTCATTACACAAATATCTGTCCCCACCGGGATTCGAACCGGGATCTCTCGAGTCGGCGACACCATGAAACCCGGCATACAAACCACTCGAACACTACACCGTACTTCCGCACGTACTAAGTATAACCTTGCCTGGTGTATGAATAATTATACACCATAGACCTGCAAATTTACTCAGTTACAAAACATACAGAAATGCTACAATACTTAGAGAGTTCAGTGTCAATATTAATAATATGTTTAATGACAATGAATAAGTAAGTAATAAATAAGTAATATTATATACTTACAAGGTTTTCAAATAGATAAAACAACAAAAGGTTTGGTCTTGTCGCCACCCTAAAAAAGACAGTTTCGATTCACTGTTCAGTCATTATAGAAAAGAAACTATCTACCTTCATTGTCCTGTGTGGCTGTTTGATTTCTATAACACGAGTGCTTCGCTTAACCACAAAATAAAAAGGGCGATCATTGTGTAGTTAGTGGCTATAAAATTATGTATTTGACCAATATATATTGAAAGGAACTAATAGAATACTAGTGGCCCGCCCTCGCTTTGCGTCGGTGTAGAGCTGTCTGTAGTCGTCAAAATGCATGTTAAATACTTATAAATATGGAAACTACATATGCATGTTTATATATACATGTACATATTATATACGTACATATGTACAAATTTGATATTGATGACAATACATAAATAAATACATACATACATATAATATGGACGACAAGAAGAGGAACAATGAGAAGAACAAGGGCAAAATAGGGGTAAGAAGATAAATAGTGTTCCTTTAGATATTTTTGAACACTGAGACAGAACTAGAGTCTCTAATTTCTGCTGGCAGTGAATTCCACAGATGGACGGCATGTACTGAGAAGGAATAGGATGCGAACCCAGTGTTATGGGTGGGACATTACAGAAGGGATTAGAGATGGGATCTGCAAGGATCTGTTGAAGAGTGAACTAAGGAAAACTGTTCACCGAGGTAAGGTGGATACGAAGGATTATAGATATATTGAAAAGGAGACAAAGGATTCTAACATTTCTGCGATTTGTCTGCGAGTAGGGAGCCACTTGAGTTCCTTACGAAATCCAGAACATGGTCATACTTGAGTAGACCAAAGATGAAACGGATAGCGAGGTTCTGCAGGCGCTCAAGTGTGTTCAGTAAGGTCTCTGTGGCATCTAAGAAGCATGAATCGTCATAATCGAGAAGCGGTAGAATGAGTGACTGAGTGAGTGAAATTTTGGACTGCGATGGCAAAAAATATTGAAGAAATTTAGGGGAATAGATCGTGTAGTAAATTTTCTGGCTGACGTTAGCGACATGGGTCGTCCAGGAAAGGTTGGAGTCCATTGTGACACCAAGATATTTAATATTGTCACTGTATGGAATGTCGATACCATCAAATGACAATGATGGCAAGTGCAAGGCAAATATTTACACACCGTTACACATGTACCTACTCCCTATGATTATGGCTTGCGATTTACTGGGGTTAACAAGGAGACCGTAAGACTTTGCCCAAGTTCTGATGCGTCAAAGATCATCATTCATGGCCGCTATTGCTAAATCCACTCCGTCGATATTAAAATGGCGATATAGCTGCAAGTCGTTTAAAAAGAGATGAAATTGAAGAAAATAACTCTAGTAACCTAGTGGATGAAACATGAAAATAGGAGTGGCGGCAAAACGCCGCCCTGGGGTAAGCCCGCAATAAATTCACACCAATCAGAGACAAAGTCATCAAGGCGGACATGCTGCGAGCGGCCCTGAAGGTAAGAATCGAATCAGGATAGAGTAGAAGAAGAGACATATAAAGAGGGAAGGATCGCAAATAGAGTATTGAAATGGACAGAAGTGAAAGCACTGCTAAAGTCCAGTAAAACCAGAGCAGTAAGCTTTTTGTTATCCATATATTAGCGAATGTCGTCAGTATAAGCAAGGCGGTGACGGTGCTGTGGCCAAAGCAGAAACCAGATTGGTAGCGATCCAGCAAATTATTAGTTTAGATGAAAGATGAGAGTTGCTTATGGACTTTGTGCTCGAGAACTTTGGAAAGAAAGGGTAGGATGGAGATAGGACGAAAATGGCAAGGCAATAATGGGTTAGATATTTTAGGCGGAGGAATAATATGTGCCATTTTCTCATCTCATCATTAAGTTAATGAACCTCTAAAAAGTAGGTTAGCTATGGAAAGGTAATAAAAATAATATATGTGTATTTTAAAGATTGTTATTGTTTTAGGGAAATAGTCAGGTTACTCCTGTCCGTCGATGCATCACCGTGCGTGGTTGACAAGAAGGGTGCTACGCCACTCCACCTGGCAGCATGGAAGGGCGACTCCAACGTGGTCGCCATGCTACTGGCACACAAGAACCCGCCGGTCAACATCGACCAGCTGGTGAGTGTTATGAGCAGTTGAATAATAAAATGAACATGTATTCCTTTCACACCGATTAGGCTAGCTCCAAAGTAAGGCTTGTGTTATGGAATACCAAGGTGACAGTACCTCTGAGTAGGTGACACATTTTTTTTGTGTCTGGGAAATGCCTTACGCATCCGTCAACCAGGGGGGGGGGGGGAGTGAGAAGAAGGTATCTGACACTCCTTCCTGGTCGTTTCAACCAGGAGTAGGTGACACCTTGAAAACGGGTCTCTATAACGCTTACGCCACTAAAGTTGTCAGCAATAAAGCAAATCCTTCTGGCTACTTTGTATTTTGTGATGATATACAGCATCTCCCATCACCAACCAATCGCACTGGGCGAGCATGGTGGGGCTTGGCTTAGTCTCCCTATTCTATCCATAGACAAGGCCTGTGCGAATATTAACATGCTGATGATGATGACACAGTATCTCGCCATCTAAACCTTTCTTGGCTTAGAAGAACATAAAAACAGATAAAATATCTTCTGAATCAGTATATCTTATTATAATTTAATTATTAAGACTCCAATTACGCTTTACATCAGATGTCATCAGGACTGGATTTACAAGACAGCACCCCCACAACAGAGATAAAAATTACACGTGGTGGGTGTGTTTCCCCGTGACTAAGGCCCGTATTATAGAAAGATTCTCAGTGATTGATCTAGTCTTGGGCATAGCTAGAAAGAGATGTCTCTATATATAGCACATAGCGACATCCCTTTCTAACTGTACTCAAGTAAAGATCAAAACTTAGTTGTCATTCTGTAATACGGGCCTAAGACTCGGAGCGAGATTTTTAGGGTTCCGTACCCAAAGGGTAAAAACGGTACCCTATTGCTGAGACTCCGTTGTCCGTCTGTCTGTCTGTCTCAAGCATCTGAATCATGATAGTTAGACAGCTGAAATTTTCACAGACGATGCGTTTCTCCTGCCGTTTAAACAACAAATAATAAAAACAGAATAAAATAAATATTTAAGGGTTTACAACAAACGTAACATTTTTGTCGATTTTTGCTCTATATTAATAAAGGCAACGCTTGAAATTTTCACATAATATTGAGTTGTAGATTCACTTTAAAAATAAATATTAAAGGAACCCATACAACAGATGTGATTTATCTTTCCGTTTTTGCTCGTGCGGTACCCTTCGTACGCCTCTCACTTGGTCGCTTTTATTCATACATATTTTCCCCTTAGACGTCGGACCACGAGACGGCTCTGCTCATCGCCGCTCACTTCGGCTACGTGGACGTCGTGGCTCAGCTGATGGCCAAGGGTGCTGATGTCACCGTGAGAAACATCAAGGACGAGAGCGCTCTGGATCTCGCCGCACAGTTTGGGAGGTAAGTGATTGCACACATTCTTCTTCCTAGTCGTGCACTCTTGACAGAGTGGTCGTGGTCATGTCTCTGTCAATTCCTGTGCCACTGATGCAATCGCGATGCATCGCCATGCAGCTCGGATGTTTTGCAGAGCGAGAACAATCATTTACGCTAGAGTGCGTCACCGATTTAATAAAGTCTGTCCACCTTGTTGGTGAGCGCCTGCGAGACCTTTTGCCCTCAACTTTCCCTTGCACCACCAACCGTTCCACGGAGTTCTCATTGCGAGTAATAGGACACACATTACACATTTAGAATTCTTTATTCCACCATTACTTCTAAACGCCTGAACCGATTTAGATGTGTGTGATATCGTTAGAATCCTTTTACCATACCGGGTAACACATGCTGCCTAAACTGTTAAAATTTAAATAACAGCAATGTCAAAATGACAATATTTATGTCAAGTAACAAAACAATCTTCAGATTATTACAGTATACGTATCATTTGAAAGGTTTAAACGAGACCATATCAAATATATAAAAATATGGTACCATTTTTAACGGCAGTCGTGTTTTTTAATTAGTAGAACTTGTTTTATATCCATCCATCTCACTCCTCCGATATCATTCACTCTTCCTTATTTGTCAAAACTATAATAATAATAAATATTTCCAACACACACCAATTAGCCTAGCGCCAAAGTAAGCACTATAAGGGTTGTGTTATGGGATGCTAGGGTAACGGATAGAATACATATACTATACATAGTTAAGTATATTTATATAGAAATACATATTAAACTTCCATGACTAGAGTACAAATGCTCATGATCATCACACTAACATCTGCCCCCACCGGGATTCGAACCCAGGACCTCTCGAGTCGGCGACACCATGAAACCCGGCGTACAAACCACTCGACCACGGAGGTCGTCAAACTATACTTGGACTATACTTGTGTTAAACGAACTTCCGATTGACATTACAAAACCAAGCTGCGAACCTTTTTATTGAAGCAGACGTTTCTTTCAGTAGTTATAGTAGTTATGATTATACCTAGTCAGGTCATAAATTCTGTCACATGTTTAATATAAAATAATTGAAACAAGTTTATTCGTTATGTGACCATTTATATACCAAAATGAACTTAACAAAACATAGATTCTTATGACGATAAAGTTTATTCAAAATGACCTCCGTGATTTTGAATACAGGCCTTCAATCTGCGCGGCCAGTCGTCTATCGCAGCACGAACGAGGTCCATGCTCGGGGCCAGAAATTTGGAAATATGGACGCCCCCTTTCTCACAAAAATGTACCTCTGTTGAGCCCCAATAAGAAACTCCCAACCATACCATGAGCGAGGATGGAAAAGACCTCGTTGGACACGCGGAATACGGTTGCTCGCTTCTTCACTACTGTGTAAAATTTTTTCATCCGAAAAAAGAATTTCCCGATATTTTTTTCCCGCGTACCGCTTCAACAAAGCCCGGCATCTCTTCAGTCTCAGGTCCATTAGACAAGCATTCAAACGATGTCCTGTTTTTCTTCGATATGCCCGAAGCCCTAAGTCTTTATTTAACACCCTTTTCACCGTGGTTCGGCTTGACCCCATCTGAAGGGCCAACAGTTTCTGCTTACGTTTGGGATTTGTTTTGAATTCGCGCCTTCACAGCTTTTATCACTGCTGGAGTCCTAACAGACCGAGGGCGACCACTTCTTTACCTGTCATCTACACTAGAGTCTTTATAGATCGTTTGATGGTACGATAAACGAATCTTTTGGTTATATTTAAATTTTTCAGTATGTCAAAAATTGGAATTGGCACGTAACCGCAACGATGCAACGCAACAACTGCAACCCGGTCTTCTTTAAGCGTCCACTCCATATTCAAAAACGAGTAAAATTCTAAAAAGTATACATTTATATTTTCATGAACAACTCGAAATTCGAATTCAATAAACTTTTTTGTGACCAGCATTCTAAAAAAAAACTTTTACTTTGTGACAATACTTATGACCTGACTGTGTATATTTATTTAGTGAAGTATGTATATATTTATTCATATTTATGTGTTTGTGTATATTAATCAATATATATTGTTATTTTTATTTATTACCACTGCTTTTTTTTTTCTTTAATATGATCTCCGCATTAGTTTGCGTCCTACTACTAATTATCTCGACAACACCCCATGGATGACTGGTAGAGAATGCCTACGGCAATAAGTCCGCTATCGTAATTTTGTGCATGAAATATTAATAAATAAAATAAATATTGTTTTAAACTTTCATGGTCACTAACACCTAGGGTTACCAACTTTTTTCTATCAAATATAGTTTTTTCGAAGTTGTTACCTCTAAAAATATAGTAGATGGCAAAAAAATGGAAATAAATGTAGTATGTGGTTAAAATATTCACTTCATTTTTGAAATGACTATAGTTTTACTGCTGTATACCTTTATTTTTAAGATAGCCTTTACTGGCAAGTATCCTTTAAGCAAAATATAGTAGTTTAGAGCGTGTAAGATGTATTACTTCTTTTCAGTCTACTGAAAAAGAATCGAAATAAGTATCAAAAATAATTTGTAAGTCAACTTCTATAAACAAATGATACGCCTATAACGTCATGCACAAAATGAAAGGTGAAAACAAGTATTCCCGCACTATTCTAACTATACATACATAAAGGACAATGTTAAAATTGGCCTAAGAACCAACACCAATTTGGCATTTATGACAATTGTTAATATATTTTTTGAGATAATTATCAGTATTTAGATTGTGACGGACACTTCCAGTTAAGTAAGCTACATTAAAAAGTTAAAAAATAATCTGAGACAATAAATTCCATTTTATGTGTATAATCTATGACAGCGCTGCAAACAAAACACTCTTTCTTCCTAATGCCGGCACTTCACTTGGCTATTCGTATTTGCTATTTTAAAACATGACATCAGTCTGTCCTTTTCATTCCTTATTATGCATGACAAGGACAAACTGTTGTCAAGTAAAGGGCCGGCATAAAACTTGATACTCTGTGGTTGTGGTGCAGGCAGTTTGCATTCGTAGTAATCTGTGGCATTCGTGCATTCCAAAGAGTAGTAGTATAATATACAGGAAAGTGCATTCTCGTTTCGGATTACCTGTTGTGTGTGTTTATTTGCGATTGTTTTTCCTTTAATTTAACTATTTCGGCTATATATTAGAATATGCCATCGATGTTACCAAAGACCTTATTACCAAGTGCTAGTGAACCTGTGCCACAACATCCTGAGAAGATCATACTGCCAAATTATTCAAGAACACCTGATACACATTCACGCTGCATATTTACACAATAAACATGTGTCAAACAAATAAATACAATATGATACAATTATGTGAAAAATAGCCAATAAATAATAAGAAGCAAAACTACAGTTTTTATTTTATTCATGATTCCTACCTAACCAAGTTTTTCCTAATAGTTATTCCTTAAAATCGCACCGAATACGCGGTACGCCGCCAACCGTACCGAGTGCGAGTAAACGAGTGATAGTGAAAGATGTAGGGTCGTCCCCTATTGTGCATCGACCAGTATTCGTAACTGCGGACGATAAAACAGTATCTTAGTTTTTAACGATTTTTATGCCCTTCATCTTGTTAATTCATCGGGAAACTAACATAGATTTATTTTAGCTTTAGTAAAAATTAGATCACCTTGTTATCAATATTATTATTTCGCTTTCATCTAACTACTATCCTCCATTTTTCCCGCCCGGGAATATGTACGAGCAAGCGCGTACATCGTCACATCAGCACATTTCGTTGACCTAAATTACCTATTCACAATTAACTTTATTGCACAAAATCAGTTCGCAATCATCAACTCATCAAGTCACGCGTACTCATAGCAATTATTATTTTATAGTTATTTTTAGTCCTTTCTCCAAATATACAGTTTTATACTACAATATCAGTTTATCATTTAATAGTTCCAACCCGAACAAAATGAATTAGTTGTAATATTAATTCACTTAATACTGAGTTCATACTAAGTTCGTAGGTTGTCCTATGTTTCATTGAATATTAAACATAACCTCAAAAAAATTATAGTTTTCCTAATAATTTAAGTTCTCAGAAGTGTCCGTCCATAATCTTTGTTTTTACAGTCATTTACTTACGATTTCGAACCTAGATAATAATATTTCATGATTGTTGGTTTTTAGGCTAACTATGTATGGCCGCTGAACAATGTCCTTTGGCACATTTTATTAAAAAATAAATCTGGCCCACATCATGTATTTGTAACAAACGATGACAAAGAACATTAACCAATGGATAAAATTTTTTTAAACTTTCAAAATTTCATCTTTATGGAATCGACTGTACTTCATGATGCCTTTTGTCATGCACTCATCAAATTCAAAATGATCGTACACTGGAGTGATACGTGTCACTAACACGGGGGGATTTATAAAATTTTTATTCATAATTAACATGCAGAATAAAAGCTACCTTTACTGCATAACATGCTCAAGAGCAAGAGTTCACCACTTCTTTACACGGGACTGCTCGAGCATTTTCAACTTTAATTAACGTCGAAACTTGGTCGGTATCTACAAAACTTAAGGTCGAGTTCACTTCGACACTCGTGAACGCTAATTTGTGAAGACTGCTAGACCCTAAATCATAACTTAGATCATAATAAGCCACCCGACTCGACTTTATATTCCTTCCTCGAGAACACTTTGAGTTCGAAACTTTGCCAGAACTTAAATATAGGCGCTTGAGTGGAGTGTTACGTAAAATATGTAAAGAAACCGGGATGTGTATAAGCGAATCTAGAACTTATCTGAAACTAATAAGAGCTTATTTAATTTACCCTACATATTTTTCTAGATGACCTTTTGACTAGTGTGTTGAAGATTATTATATTTAATTTTAAGTATCAACAGTTACATGTAAAGAAAAATTAACTAAAAAAAAGTAGAAAAAAAACATTGTAGGTTACCAACAATGCGAAGAGATAGCGCTGCCTTACAGCCTAACAAATGCTAGAGAAAAAACGAATGGACATCAGGGCCGTGGTAGCACAGTTAACTGCTTAGTTAACACTAAATAGAATAGAATATACATATAATACAGAGCACTTTATCTTGATCGAAAGGACAATGGAAAGAAACGTCCCCCCCGGAAGCTGTCAAATGGAATGTTTTTTCCCGTTTTAGCAACATTTTCCATTGTTGCTCTGCTCCTTTTTGTTGTATCTTTATGTTATATAGCTTATAACCAACCTTCCTCCATAAATGCACTAGTCCACCAAAAAGAAATATTCAAATCGGGCCTTGTAGTTCATGACTTTATGTAAAATGAATTAGATAGAACCTGAAAAATCCAGAGGCAAATCCAAGCATAAATGGTACGCATGCCTCCGAATTCAAATTATTTTTAAATGTAGATATAAGTAAAGAATATGTATTATTTTTTCTTTTTGGTGGTTGAAACTTGATATGTTTGCATGAAGTTGGTTTTTATTTTTGTTAAAAAAGTATTTATTTTACCCTATTTATAAGCCAGAACAAGATCAACTTACTAAGTACTTGGTACCCGGCCTGCATTATCTCTTTCATATCTCTTAAAATAACCAAACTTCTTTTTGAAGTCGAATTGAGCACTTATGCACGTAAATGAGGAGTCCATTATTTTCTTCAACAGCACTGATGAGATCCTCAACAAATTAATACGGGATCATTTCGCTAAAAAACTGATTCAAACAAAAAAATAATCATTAAAATCTGTCCACGCATAACGGAGATATGCGCGAACAACAATAAAGAACATGTAATGACGAATTTAGGATCTCCTCTTGTTTTGAAGTCAGTTAAAAACGAACATTAAGTAAAACATTGCATTTGTAAGTCAATAATTTATCAGTTCTAGACCATTTTTATAAGAAAAAATATATTTTTGTATGACATAAACACATTTTTGCAAGAAAGTTTTTTTTATTAATTATAATTTAACCCCATTGATTTCCCTACTAAAACAAGTGTTTTGACCATTTTTGAGTACGAATGAACAAATCCACACGCATTCCTTGTCTGTTGCACGGTAGGGACGGGGTCCATACAAAATCCCCAATGGTCCGTTACCATGACACTGGTGTATCTTACATTTTACAAGTTTAGGCATCAGTCTAACACAAACTTATCGTTGTTATTTGAAAAGTTGTCATTTTATGTGATAAGAAAATAAATGTTTTTTTTACCTCCACCAAATTGATAGCCTGGGTGGTCCTAAGAAGCTTTTATCTTATTTTATTATGACCGTGTTATTGTGTACAGACATTTATAACTTCTGTGAATTATGTTCTATTTAGGTGTATTATCAATTTTTTAAAACTGTTGTCTATTTTTTTTTTAATTTATTCTGGCTTTGGATACTCAGTCCTTTAGCCGAAATCATAATAAAACAAAACAGAAATAGGAGTACGAAACTGTTGTCTAACATTTATCACTTTTCCAGTGGCAAAAATTCTCATGTGTTTTTTTTCATGCTATTATTTAACTGCTACATGTTCAAATCTAAAAGAAAATTTTAATAAAAAGGGACGTCAATTGTTCTTATAGAACTTGATATGAAGTGTAAGGAGAGGGGGTATCTATAAAGCACGAACAACTAGCGAGACAGTATTCGTATCGCCATTGAAGGGAATGGAACAGCTAGTTTGTCCTTACATCCGGTAGGGGCGCTGTTCAGTTTCCAAACGTTGACGATGGCGGAACGAATACTTTCTCGCTAGTTGTTCGTGCCGGGGGGTACAGATACAACAAAAACTAAATGCATAAAATTTACTTGTCCTGAAGGTTGGAAACGGTGCAGCATCTGCTGTGTGTGATGCCTCAGCTGGTTGAGGGGTACAAACCGCATAAGTGTAGGGGAAAAGTGTTCTCTTCAACCCCCCTCCACAGAGCCAGCAAGTACGGACGAAAGTGAGTACTGAATATTAGATTTTTTCAAGATTTTGCCCGCCTCTTCGGCTGCGTTTTTGCAATTTAAAAATCTCTTAGAAACTTGTCGTCTCATAATCAGTCCATAAATCTTCCTACTGCTAGGGCACAGGCTTTCCCTGATCATCATCTTTGTTGGAATATGGGAAAAACACGGAGTAGGTACTTGGTTTTTGGTCATCCATTATATGAAGAGCTATAGCAAAGGTTGCTTGACTTCCAAAGCTGCGCTTCGCCATCGAGATCTTCTAGGGAATATTCGACGGGGATAGCTGGTTTTTCAATAATCACACATAAATATATAAGTAAAGAGTTTATACTCATCATGATATTTAACGAGAGTTCGTATTCAATTAATATTAAGGATATATTTTCCAATTTTTTCAAAGCTATTAATATTTCTTGTGCCATGTACCTGCCAGAATATCTGGAACGACACCTTTGTAGATATTTACTGCTCGTTATTATTTTATGCTAATTTAAAGGCAGTGTGTACACGTGCCTCAATCGACTCATATTCATATTCATTCGTTCGTTATAACGCACCAATAGGTTTCGTGCCTACGAATTTGCGTCGCCATAAACGGCTGGCTGGTGTGAGAAATGATCACAGCGTACCTTCGCTGTAGTAACGTTCGCGTAATTGGATTGTAAACGATGATATGTAAAACACGATAAATTGACGCTTCACGTAATTATGCATAGAAGAATATACATACGTTCCAATTGTTTCGGAGTGTGTACTTAGCTTAAAATAATTATTACTTTCTTGGAATTCATTTAAACACTTTTTTATGTAATATCGTCAATTTGTGTTCTTCATATTCCATCCATACCGAAGGCGTGTGCCCTATCAGTGGGGATATAATAGGTTGATGATGGATGGAGGAGCTCGATGGCGCAGGTGGTTAGCGCGTTCGGCTTGCGATCGCGGAAGTTAAGCAACTTTCGCAATGGTCGGTCATTGGATAAGTGACCAAAAACTTATCGCGAGCTTCTTTATGCTTCGTTAGGAACATTAAGTCGTTTGTTCTGGATGCATCTGTCGTCATTAGTACCCACCAACCTGCGCTAAGCCCGCGTGCTGGATCATTGCCCAATCTGCCTATTCCATCCCATAAAAGGCCTGTGCGCCAGCAGTGGGGAAATAAAAAAGGCTGATAATGTTGATAAGTCAGATCAAAAATGTGTCAGATGGGAAAAAGAGTATTAGGTTAGGTTAAGGTGTGCACTTTAATTGGAGCGTCCGTCAGAGAAGCAAGGTGGTCTTTTGCAAATAACAGTAAGCCCCTTTTAGTAGGTAGTGTTATGTTTCTGAAGGTGAGCAAGGTTTCCAAGGCTCTACGGGGTAAGGGTAGATTTATGATAGATTACTTACGAGTGATACTCTAGTATCGTAAGCACCTATAGGTAGGCTATAGGTAATGTCTGCTTACATTGTTCGCTTGTAAGCAGTCCGTCGGAGAATCAACGTGGTCTTTTGCAAATAATAATAAGCCCCTTTTAGTAATGTTATGTTTCTGAAGGTGAGCAAGGTTTCCAAGGCTCTACGGGGTAAGGTTAGATTTAGGATAGATTTACTTACGAGTGATACTCTAATATCGTAAGCACCTATAGGTAGGCTAAAGGTAATGACTGCTTACATTGTTCGCTTGTAAGCAGTCATAAGCAGCTTGTAAGCAGTCCGTCGGAGAATCAACGTGGTCTTTTGCAAATAATAATAAGCCCCTTTTAGTTGTGTTATGTTTCTGAAGGTGAGCAAGGTTTCCAAGGCTCTACGGGGTAAGGGTAGATTTAGGATAGATTACTCACAAGTGATACTCTAGTATCGTAAGCGCCTATATGTAATGACCGCTTAGATCATGCGAGCAATGTACTGCTAGTTTGCTAATTCAACAGGTTGCAATGAGGATCCGTAAATATTTTAGTTGAGAATGCAGATTCAAAGAGCTAAGGATTCCATAAAATACAGTCGTAATATTTTTGTTCTACGACAAATATTGACGAAGTTATGACCAAATTACTAAACGAATTTTCGGCTAGCCGCGTGGTGGCTGTGACGTCACAGAGTTCTACCGCTCGGGCGCGAGCGTGCGTGGAGACGCTACTGAAGTTCGACCGGAGTGAACCACGATCGAGCTCTGTGACGTCACACGCTTCGGCAGCCGGTGAATATTGGCTACCATAAAAATAGTTATAAAATCGCAACGAATGAACCGATTTCGATGATTTAAAAAGTATATCAATAAAAAAACTAATTAGATCAGTATACTGTTGATTTTTAGTTGAAACTCCAGTCTATCCACCATGGAAGTGAAGCCAGTTTTTCTCGCAGCTGGCGTAGCCAACCAACCCCAACTTTGCTTTAGCAAAGCGTCTGTAGTCCGTATCCTACTGGTCCGTGGTCGTATTACGGCGCCTTTGATTGAAGGAGGAAAACTGTCCACGATTCGCATGTTGCATTTCTATGATTGTTACGATATCAAGTCAATCGATTATATATATATTATTATTGTTATCGATTTCAATGATTTGTAAAGTATTTCGTTACTTTTATCAAACGTTTAAGATTAGCCCCTTTTTGATAGGTTCAAACGAATCAACCATACCTGACTTTAGGTGTAAGTGGAGTCCAGATGCGACTAGCTACTCGGCGGTCTAGAATCTTAATTTCTCTAACCTAGAAAGATTGTTTGCTGCAAAAATACAACACTACGCGCGTTCCTATTCGAGCCGCAAATCCATTCTGTGTATTGTTTCGACATTTCTTTGATATGCATCGTATCCTTTTCAAATCCAGGGAAGTGGTGTCAGTATTACTTGCGGCCGGCGTAGACCCCAACGTTCGAACATTCAACGGCACGCCGTTGCATGAAGCAGCGTGCTTCGGCAAAGCGTCCGTAGTCCGCATCCTACTGGCCAATGGTGCTGATCTTAATGCAGTGGATCGGAGAGGGAAGACTGTCCACCATCTACTCGCTGACTACTCGGAAGAAGCCACCAGAAGGGTCCGAAGGGTTATCAGAGGTAAGAATTGCATAATATGCTAAATTATTCATCGTTCATTCATTTATAATTCGTTCCAGATCCTCACCATCAGATATCTAAAAGCGTTAAATAATCATGTATGGTAAAATATCTGTAATATCTCAAGAAATAATCATTCAGTGCTTAGCAAATTGCTCCAGAGACCCGATGTTAAGTGTTAATTGATACCGGCTAGCGCTGTGAAGATAGATGTTTATTAGTTTTATGACCATTGGAAAATGGAACTAATGTTTTGCACTACGTAATTTGGATGAGGTTTTCTGAGTTTAATTTGTACTTACTTGAAATAAAGTTGGCCTGAGATCAAGTCTTTGCAGAAGTAGTGAAATATCTAAACGTTGTCTTACTATGAAAGGTTCTCTCTCAATAGTTCTTACTGTAAGAACCATAAGCATAGCACCGTTCATTTTATCAATTAAAATGATAATAACGTTTGTATAGGTATGACTAATCGTATTAAAATAACGGTACTATCAGGACTTTATCAGTAAGATAGAAGAGTGCTTGTGAAGACTCATTGTTTTATCAGTTTCTCTCACGCGTGCTCGTTTGAGATAATTATTGCATTCAGTGTTGAATTCATTCATAGCCGATAATATCTTAGAGTTAAAACTAATGATGAGTACGTTTGATTGTATGTTACTGAGACACAACTTAATTTTGCAATATTGTCATCGAAAATAGTAACTCTCACTTGTGTGCTTGTGGTTACTCGGATTTGTGAGCGCTCATGGTAAATCTTAAGATTTATTTGGTATCGTTGGTTGTGACTTTTATAAGATTGTTTTGCCTGTTTCTCTAGAGTTTGAGAACCATACACGTACCGCTTATGAGAGCGAGGAAGACTTGCCTCCATTCCCCGTACAAGACTGCAGTCCCACCGGCTATCCGCCTGCCGGCCTTGTGTAAGTTATCTCAATGGCATAAGGTTCTATTTTATTTGGTCTCAGAACAATTCTTTTGCACTGAATCTCTGATGATTTTTATTAGCACTTGTTAAACAATTTCGCTGATAAACGGTTAATAGGTAGATTGTACAGTATGATTTGAAATCTACTAAAGCAAAAGAATTCTTCTCTTTGATTTCTGACTGGTTATTTATTACTCATTATAGTAAGAGAAAGTCTACTTTTTATCAACATTTTGTAAAAGTAATGTTATCTTTTTTTCCTTTGTGAGAATTAAGAGCCCTTTCACATTTTTTGCAAATAATCGTAATTTTTGAGCGCCTCGTTTACCCCCTTAGAAAAGATTTTGACTATTTCCAATAGAAGTTTGTAAGGGATCTATTTTGTCGGTCAAAACTCCTTCGTCTGCGCAAGCTATTACATTAAGAAATTCAGTAAATGAAAGCCATAATTTAACAAAAACAAATCAAAGTTGTGGTTGTTAAAGGGGTATAATTTAAAATGTCATATTTTAAATTACGAATTGGGATTTTTGTTTCTTTTTTTTACTAACAACAATTTGGCGTCATACTCAGTCAAACGTGGTTAGTACTAACACATGTATTTTTACAATTTTAAATGCATTTAATAAACCCATGTTGTAAGTAAAGAATGAAATCTGACGCGCTGCACACTAAAAGTTCTTTCAGAAATAAACACTATGTAAAATAATTTACAATCTCGACTTGTACGTACACTCAAGCGTGCATAAACGTGGGGCATCTTCTAAACCATGGTCGTTTATTTTATCCGCTTTTTAACACACTAACACCGCTCACACGAAGCGGGGCAGCATCCCTTTGAGAATATTAAAAATGCTCGTTGGATTGTGAAAAGGTCGACTATAGGACTTTTTGGTAAAGGAATGCTCCCTCTGTAATTACGCGAAGGCCTACCGCGGCTCTAAACATTCGGTTTTAATTGGAGAGCTGACTCAATTACGACACACGCTGTCTCACCTTTGAACTCTGATTGCTATCTTCGTAACGGTCTTTTAGCATTTTGATATCTCCCTCTTTTGGCGAAAGCACGCTTTGTCACCGCAAAAATTTACACCCAAACTAATGAACGCCATTGTTGTAGGAAATTTCGTACAATCCATATTTTGGTTTTGAATGGTTTTTCGTTTCTTTTATAACACGTCATCTTCTTTACTTTGGTTATTTATAAGTTGTATTTTATTTATTTATACAATTAAATAAAACATACGAGTACGTACATATTACAAAGTCTATACACCGAAAAAACAAGGCTTATATATATATATTATTTACGTTTCACTGAATATAAATAAATACATATGGTTTGTAAAATATTTTTTATAATCTTATTTCTATTTATCGTTAGGAAGTTTAAAAAATATTCTTAAACAATAATAATCATTAACAATATTTAAATAATTTAAAGAATATATAGGTACGTATATAAAATATAATCAAGATGGTATTGCACAGTTTAAAATTAAAAGTAATTATATAAAAATGCTTACATTAAATTGATATAACGATTTGTAATATGATATATCGTTATTTCACAAATATATGTAAAATAAAATAAAAAAAATAATTACAGTGCCGCGAAAATAACAGATCTCCTTGCCATAAACTTAACTTGGGTATTTATCCTTTTGTCGAATGGATGCTAAACAACAACGTGAATGCTAGCCTCATTAAAATCTTCCGTACCTTTGATTTTGTCTGTAGATGGCCAGGTGCCTTCACGGTATAAAGATACCCGCAGCGCTGTCCTTTGATGCCGCCGGGCAAAAGCATAGTGGAAGGGTCCTCAAAAATGAAATAGTCCTGAGTTGTTATAAAACTCATAAAATATTCATATATTTTTTTAAGCATTTAACTGCTTGATGTTTGGCGCTGTCTTGCAGCCTAAGAAATACTAGAGAAAATTTGACACGGCCATAAGGCCGCGGCAGCAACATGGTCAGTGCATCCGCCCGGATAGCAGAGGGTGCGGGTTCGAGTCCCGTCGCTACCTGGTCCGCGTGGAATTTTTCTAGTAAAATTTTCATCTAATATTATTGAAAAGCATTTGGTGTGGGCAAGAAAAAATCTTTGTATAAAGTTAAATGTTCTTTCATGTTAAGTATAAAAAAATAGTCGACAGTTTGTAATAACATCACATGCAATTATAGCATGTAGTAACATAGTTATAATTTTTCTTTTTTAAGCATGTAACTGCTTGATCTTTAACTCAAAAGAAAATATAAGTAGAAAAAATACGATGTAATAACATATTTTGTTTTTCTAATAAATTCCAATTTACAGGTGTGTTGAACCTGAATCTAGTGCCTTACCGCCTCGCAATAATAACCATGCTTCCTTATTTATAAATAACAAACACGATGTTAACGAAGTACCTAACGTTACCTCGATCCAAAAATATAAGACAATATCACCATCACTGAAAAATGATATAATAGAATTAAGTAAACAATTTCAAAGCGGTAAGATATCTAACACTGATCTTAATATTTCTGAACAACCGTACGTAAATCAGGATGAAATCAAAAGTTACACAAGAGAATCGACATATAGATATGATTGCGACAATTCAAATTTATATGAAAATTTAACACATCTGAAAAAAGATATAGATTCCAGTTTTGAACATGATATTGAAAAAGACTTTAAATTAGAACTTATGCAAAAGTTAAACCTAGTCAAAAAGAAAAATAGTTCTGCATCCTTTGAATTAACAGATGTAACACCTACGATAAAAAGGAAACCTAAACCTTCTCCTAAACTGGGAAAAGGCAATAATACAGATTCTATACATCACGAGGGTGAAGGTTCTATTGATTACAAATCGTACACAGGTAATCGCTCTAAGAGATATACTATTAACAAATTTGTGGTTGGAAAAGAACAGTGTGGCCCAATGTTTGATGAAAGTTTAAAAGTAAATAAAGCGAGGAATTTGCCTGATGAAGAAAAAGCAAAAGCTAAACCGAAAATCAATAATTCGCTGTCCCCTGACGAAACGATCACAATAAATAACGAAAACACTGACGAAATGTATATCACTATGAATAACTCTGATGGTAAAATTGAATGCGATTTAATTCAACCAATCTATACCTCTATGGATACACCTTCATTGAGCACAACAGAACCGAAAGGTGGGAAAATGTGTGAACATAAAATAAAATTTATAGACTACATTTCACGCAAAACGATATACGGTGAAAATTTTCGGGAAGCAGATACGAAGTTTTATGAAAATCTTGAACAAGGCATTTATACTCCGATGGAAAGTAAAATGCAAATTTGTAGAAGGTCAAACCCTATTTCTTCACAATACACATCAAGTGTCCATACTAAAGGTGACAGATGTTGTATATATGAATCATTAGACTATTTATATATTTACGAGTTGAACCCTGAAGCTACTCGTAATAATGCACACCCCTTTATTAAAAGGAAACAAAAAGCTACATCCATTCCATGTATTTGTCCGGGTCAAAATAGCAATAAACAAAAAATTCCTCCAAACAGAGACAAAAAGAGGGATATGGACTCGAGTCAACTTCTTTACTACAGTTGTGAAGATATTTATGTCCAATTCTCTGAAAGTATAGAGACGAATAAGATACATTCGTCTCTAACTGATTTAAGAAAATTAAGTAACACTGGAATCACGTATACTTCAGATATTAAACCTGATGTGACCACTGGTTCTAATTGTGGTGTTGACGAACCTAATAATCAAATTGAGGGCAATGTGGTTTTCAGACCTTTTGTAAAAAAAGACCAAACGGAATCAGACATCCGCGAGAAAAAAAAGTCAATTTTTAGAAAGAAATTTGATCAATTCAAACAACTTTTTACTGATTGGGAGAGTTAAATTATAAATAATTATAACCTAGTATCTTTATGGCTTATTTTTACAATATTAAATTAATACCTAATTTCATTCGGTGGTGGTGCCATTGTATAAAGCAGATTTATATTAATTAATACTATTTACTAACATGCACATTATTAACTTATACAATTGAAGAAATTATTTCAATCTGTTATTATTATTTATTCGAGTTTTGTTGCTTTATGTGTTTTACAGGAAAGCCCCAGAGACCCAAGAAAATACTAACACGTATAACTATAGCTTATCTCCATCTTCTTCATACCAGCTAACAAAAACCCCTTCTCAAAGTTTCGTTAAAAAGCTTGCTTCCAAATGCTTGGGACTAAAAGCGAAGTTTAATTCTGCTCCTAACATAACTAATAATTTGGCCAATGAGTCGGAAGTCGATGTAAAGGCGAAACATTTTGAACAAAAAACTACTACAAACACATTGTTAATTGGTAATAGTAAGTTTTTCAAAAGACTCTCAAAGAAGGAGCATTCTGGAGAAGTAATTTGTAATGATGAATTTGATACAATATCTCTAGATAGAATTAGTACATTACACAGAGATTCTGTTGTTAATAGGAGTAACCGCAGTTGTCCGGGATTTAAAACATCTCTGCCCAATATATCTGAAAACAACGAACTTAGCGATGAATCTACAGCTGAGTCTATAGTGATTACAGAAATTAACTGTGATACAAGTTTTAAGAACACGAATATCTTGACGGAAGCTATTAATTCTAATGCTGCGATGAACAGTTTTAAACCTAATAATAGGGTATCTATCATATCTAATGAATCAGCAAATTTTGTTAACGAATGTTATGAATCATATGAATTTTCCGACAGTGAAAAGACTACCGAAAGCAATAAGCCCAAACCTCCTCCAAGACCCAATATATTAGCGCATCCGTCAAGTGATGATAATACTATATATGAGAATGTTATTATAAGTAAACAAAATATTCGCCCTATTCCAGCAGCCAGAACACATCTTCCCCCAAAAGTACCTATTCAAGTAATAGAAAACACAGTATTGTATGAAAATGTTTCGTTGCTTCTAAACAGACGGCAACCAGAACCCCCAAAACGAACATTTATTACATCACACACTGAGTCAGATGAGGGAAATATATCTCGCAGCAGAACTTCAACCTTATCATCAGATTCAATGATAGATGAAACTAATTTAGAAGATATTTTACTATCACAAAAATCTAAATCGTTTAAACATGGCAAACATATTGAAATGTATAGAACTACTGACAAGAGGGACATATGCCGTACTGTTTCTAGTTCGACAGTCTCTTCCGATATAACCGAAGCTAGTGCAATAGAAAATATTGATTGTAGTGATGAAAATACTAACGAAAAAAGTATTTATTTATCAATGACTGGTACTTTACCCAATAAAAAAACGATAAGACCTGAAAACAAAAAAGTATTATTCAGACATAAAACTTTTACAAACATCGAAGTCGATAGAAATTCTGTGAAGGTGACAGATTTACCCAAATGGAATAATGAAATTTTAAAAGAAACCTTAGCTAATTATCACATTAGAGGTACGGGGCACTGTATTTATAGTGGCCCTACAGTGTTAGAATTTATTGATGTGTTTAATAGAGAAACGCTCTACAAAGACGTCCCACCTTTCTCTAAAATACAGAATGATAAGAGAGACAGCTATTTTGAAACGGCCATTTGTTTTTGTAAGCCTAGACACCCTAAACATCACAATAGCGCTGAGGATTTACTAGAAATTTCTCATCCCCAGGAAGAAGAAAAAGTATCTATTGATTTTGACGCCCTCAGTAAGGTCCGTGAAATGGATTCCACGTCGTTTCGGTGTTTTTGTGATTCGACTAAATGTATCTTTCATACCGAGAAAAGAGATATGGGCAATGTGATTGTGAAATTCTCTGCTATCAATAAAAGTATTTCAACACCAGACATTACTTTATACGATTCTCCTTCTTTGACAGTTAATAACAGTCATTTAGTAAGAAATGCTTCAGTGCCATCAAATCTGGAAGAGCCGTACGCCGTTATAAATATTGAAGATATAATACTTAAAAAGAAAATGGAGCAAAATCATAATAACAATATTGTAAACAGCCCCGATTATGTCTCAATGTCGCCATCTACATTGTCCTCAACGATCTCTTCTACTACCCCTTATTCCGTAAAAGACATAGCAGAAGTGCTATCTCTAAACTCAACATCGACAACCGCCGGCCTATCTTCTGCTTCTGATAAAGTATCGCAAATCAAGTCCAGCTCCTCGGGACACTCTGGTCATTGGTCCTTGCAATCTTGCGAGTCCAACGTTACAATCAAATCGGACGCTTCCTTCGTGACATGTTTCGAGGAATCTTCGGAAGAAGATTCAGATTGTACTTTGCATTCGGGCGACGAATCCTCCGATGCCGACACTGTTAAGTCTGATGTTAGTGTTAGTAAAAGGCCTTGGGTTCACAGTGATTCTTTCAGATTTGGCAATAAAGATGTTAAATACGAAAGCAAAATCGAGGAGGAGGATGATGATGACGTTAATACATTGATAGAGTCGAGTTCAAAATTTGAGAGTGGTATAAGTGTCGATGGTTCTGGGAGTTCTTCGTCCGAGTGCGGGGAGGATAGGGTGGGTGGGGACGACAGCGGTGTCCCGAGGGCGGAGGACGATGTGTCGCTTGATGCTTCGCTTGAGCGGGGTGCGGGGGTGGCGGGTGTTCGCAGCGGGTCGGGGCGGCGGCGTTGGGACGAGACGGAGGGCACGAGCGAAGGCGATGCGCTGAGCGTCTCCAGCGCCGCCTCCAGCTGTGCGCCTCTACACATGACGCACCACCACGAATACAACAAAGTCTCGGTGAGTGGTAGATTTAAGAGCTGTTATTGTAAGTACTTCCGCCCGCGACTACCGCCGCTCTATATTTTTTTAGAATTGCATAGGCACTAACATTTCGTATCCAATGTGTTAATCTAGATAGCAACTACATATATGCAAAACTTTAGGGGGGGGGGGATGATTCCAATGTCACTATTCCATCCGTAGGGAAGGCCTGTGCTCCAGCAGTGGGGACATCAAGAGACTGCTGATGATGATGCCAAATTATCTCCAAATCCAAAAAAGAAACAAATAAACTTTCATTTTTATGATATTAGTAGGAAAATTCATTTATTGTGAATACGGCTACGGGTTTGTGAAGAATCTACAAAAGTCGCTCAGTAACGTACAGGGTATAGGAAATTTTAACTAATGTTACTGAATCTGTTCGGTAACATTAACAATTTGTTTAATATAAGGCCAGGTATTTTATACCGGCGATTTCTTTCTATAGCAATAAGTAGGTTGTTATTACGTTGAATAGTAATCAGTTTGGCTATGAAATACCGGAGCTAGGGTACAATGCACAACAGTGGATATGAGCGTGAAAGAAGAATAGAAGTGAAACTATTTCACTGTCAGGTTTTATATGCATGTATTCTGAAAAATAATAAGTAGCAATATGTAATAAAAAAAAACAAAAACAGTACAAATAAGTTGTACCTACGTCATTCCAGCTGCTTTACAATAGAATAAAAGTAAATATAGGTACATAATTCAATAGATAAGTAAAAAAATGAATTAAGATTCCATAAATATTGAACCACCCTACAATACTTTGTACTTGTACTCGTTCACGCGTATATGTTTAAAGTTTAACGAATTGTACAATTAAGACAGCTATGTCATTGTCTTTAAAGCGACGAGACTAATTGCTTGTGGGAAAATAATTGTAATAAACAACAATTAAACGAGTTGAAAAAGAGCAATTGATTATACCTAGCGACATGGTTGCATTTATTCAATATCAGTGGGTGCCTGGGACTTAGTCTGCGTTGCAGATTTTTTTCCCTTACAGACTTCCAATCCCCCTTTTCACCCATTTAAAGGTTGATAGGTTGATTTCTGGGATAATAACTATCCTTCGTTCATGCCGGAGACTCAAATCACAGAACACAGAAAGAGGTTAGAAGGGTTGTCATATACCGTTTGTACGGAAACCGTACTCGCCGGTCGACCCCACTACACTTCCACCTAATAGATAATAGCCAATCAAACGACGCGACTTCAAACAATCGAACCAATCAGCGCTTACACCCGAGATCAACAAAGCAATCAGAACCAAGTTTTGGTGAAGTTATGAGCCTTTGCTCACACATATAACTGTGGCGCACCTGTCCCGCCCACAAAGCCCTTCTAATCTCTTTCTGTGTTGTGTGACTCAAACTATCTCTGTATCAAATGTCGTGTTAATCAATTCAGAGGTTCAAGCGTGAGGACGTGATAACAGACTGACACACACTTTCGCATTTATAATATTAGTAGATATTGATGACAAAAGGACATTGATGACAAAAGAATGGACAGGCGGGCATAGTGAAACTATTATGGTTCTTCGTTGATTTGGAACCCTAAATATATATTCTGTTTATTTTTGTTCCTGATGTTTATCACGTTTTTTGTCGAAATTGCATACGAAACAGTATTCGAAATTGAAACCCCTACTTGTTGCGCGTCACGTTCGCTGTCACGCAATGTTTCGTGTCCTACTATCATAATTCAATGTGGCGCGTAATTTCACGGTAACACGGTAATGTGGCAAAGTTGAAACATCCATCGATCCATATTTCACATTCCCTTAATTGCACCTCTACAACAGTATAAAGAATCATGCAATCATCATATAATAGATCAATTGCCTTTGATCAAGTTGTCAAATGCCGACTCTACTTGGGTGCCGGACGGGCTTCCCGAAGACTTATGTCCATCATATGTTTTTCTCTGTCTAGTATTTTGGGTTGGTTGACAGTAAAATTTTGATTAGTTGGTCAAGATTATTAAGAGGTGATTTTAGTCAAGATACAATAGATAAATATCACTATATTTTTTATCCTTTCGCATTCTTATCTCTTTTTTTATGTTGATCTGTAAGCTTAATCGAAAGTGCTTTTTATAAGTATTTTCTTAACGATTTATGTTACATTCACAAGTTAAGAAAAACACGAGTTTACGCCTCTCAGCGTGAGAAAAGTTATATTGCGAGCATCACCACATGTTACGTGATGTATTAATGTTTTACAACAACACGATGTGATGTGAATAAACCATGTACAATGAACAGCACATTCAATTGTGCAAAAATGAAAGGAGCTTTTTATGTGTATATGTAAATTATTAATCATTTTTTCTTTCGTAAAAGCTTTAAACAATAACATCGATGCGGGTGTCTCCATTTAAGCAAAAAAAAAGGCTTGTGTTTGGAGGTTCCGCTCTTCCTTAACTAATAATTTAAAAGACACAAGGGAGTCTGGTCACAATCACAATTATGCCAGTGTGTATTCAACACTAAGTTCTAAATCCATTTAATAAATACAATTTATCTGATTGTATCTTATATTAAAACAAAAAAGGAAGATACGGTTCGCTCATACTAGCATAAAATGAAATATGCTCCGACTCAACTACATAAGCATCTCTCACGCACGCACCCTTCTGTAAATAAACATTCAATCGAGCGAGCGAGACAGAACTGTAAGCTTCAACGCAGCGCGAGCGAAACGGCGAGTCCGCGTCACTTGCCTAGGTGACTGCGTTTTCTTTTCTCTCTCTACAAACGGCTGAGCTGTATTGTTGTCCCTTTCTTGACAAAAAATGGCGAAAAAGTAAATAAAATCATGACCAACCGTGACTTTTGAGAGAAAATTGTTTTCATAGTCTTTCGAATGAAAAGTGTTGCTGTTAAATTGGTTATTTGATTTTAAACTATATGTGTTCTTTATATAGGCATCGAAGGCATTGTTTTATCTTTATAACACAGAATATGCGCAATATTGTTATATTGAGTGCACATGCAGAATGTCAACATTTGAATGTCCAATTGTGACTTAAGCAAATTGTGGTCATGCACAACAATTTAAGCGGATCACTTTTCTGCCATGAATGCCGTATCTTCCCTTTTTGTTTTAGTCTAGGATTTTATCTATTGGAAAATCTGTTTTACTATGGCATCAAAATTCTTAGAAACTTTCACACAATGTCTTTTATATTTCACTGTAGAAGTTGGTATATTTTCTCAACCGTCTCTTATTACATTAGTAAGCATAGAGATAAAAATGTTTTCTATAAATTTTGTGACTGTTTAATATACGTTTAACGCAACCCCTGCAAATAATTAGATTACTCTTGATCAACAGAAACGCTCAGGTCGCACAAGCCACAGTAAAAAATCGTGAACTTTCACCCTTCATGTCAAACATAAAAAAATCCTATTACCTATAATTTCCACAAATAATGACAGAACTAACCTTGAGCCACATTTCGCGTGGGTTTATCTCGTAAATTACTTTTTTGTGTGTGTTGGGATTCGTAAAATATTTTCGGCCTAACATTAGCTGTGCCTAATTCACGCACTGGCGGTGCGATGCCTCGAAGAAAATTAGGGCAGTCGTATCGCCGCGTATTGGACCGACGCATGCGTCCTTCTTGTAACAGTTCTTAGATTTAAAACTATTTACGAATAACAATATAAACTTCTAAAGAGAGAAAAAAAATATAATCCTAAAATCGAATTAATAAGTTTAGAATTTACTAAGCGTTTTCGTAAAGATCCGTGTAGGTGTGAGTGATTGTTAATAGTGTTGTGAGTTTGTGCAGTTCTTTTAAGGTTAATTGTGTAGTGCTAGTGTTGTGCTCTGGCCTTTTGCCCTCGTGATTCTGTAAGTTTAATCCATTATATGTTTTCATAAAATTTACAAGTTTTCTAAATTTTTTATCGTGTATAACTTGAATTCTATGGCGAATTTCTAAGCTAATCGAATGGTTAGAAAAATAAGTTTAGTTGAAAATTACCACTTAGCGACGAACAAAAGAAAACAAATTTCTCATACCTGCTATTTCAAGGGCGCGGTAAGCTATTCCGTGGCGTATTATAATTTCCCTTGAGACATTTTGTCAAAGCGTGTAATTTTTAGGTATACTTTTCAACTTTGTTTATTTGGTTTGACCTTGAACCATAATGTAAATTGTCATCACACCCACAAAAATAGGCAAAAACAATGTATTATGGAAATGATGCGTTTAATGAAGACGATATCAACGTCAAGTATTCGCCAGTTAAAAAACTTTTCAAAAAGTATATGTGTTTACACATATTATGTACAAAAGTAATATACCTTTAACGCCATATATTAATTATTTGTTTATGGGATTTAGAGAGGACCAAAAATGTATGAACTTCAGTCGCAAAGGTACATTTCAATGATGAATGATTGGTAGTTATTGACCAGGTTCAGTAATGACAGGTTGTCTGGTTGTCTCAATCCAGCTCATAAACTACCTATATGCGTATCAAATTTCATTCAATAGTAGTGTAGTTTTTGCGTGTAGATCGTGAGTAGCAAACATAGAAACTTTCTCATTTATAATATTAGTGTGAGTTAGGATCATGATCTGCTATGAAGTATGGGAAGTAGAAACTACTGTCAAAAGTTAGATAAATACAAATTTCTCTATCATCTATATCAAATATAGATCTGATTGAGAACTACTCCCGATTTGATGATATAATGTCTACAAAAGGTAGCTAGTGAACTTTACTCTAGGCCACGTTTTCGTTTTCTTTGGTGTTTGTCTATTGTAATCACATGTGTGTTGATCTATTGACAGTGTAAGAAAACTATTAAAATAGCGGTCGTAATGTGTCTGGCCGCCCGCCAGAATTAATGTATGCGTTTAACTGATTTTAACAAATTTAATTTTTTTCTTGAAGGAAATAGAATATATTAAAAATAATTAAGAAAATTTAACTCCTCATTCGAAACATA